CAACATCCACCCCGCGCCCTCCCACTCCGCCATCCCCACCACCACCGCCTCCCTCCTCACCACCGCCTCCTCCGCCTCCTCGTCCCCCATCACCACCTCTTCTTCTTCCTCCTCCTCCTCTGCCTCGTCCCGCGCGGTCTCGGCGCCCCCCGCGCCTCTCACCTCGTCCGCCTCCGCCTCAACTCAGCCCTCCGCGTCCGCCCTGCGGCAGCGCATAGCAGCGCTGCTGCAGCTGCCGTCGTCGTCGTCCCCTTTAGACGCCATGGCAGAGAGCGCGCTGGCGGGGGCGGCGTTCTGGCGCGGCGTGGAGGGCATGCCGCACACGCTGGAGCAGCTGCTGCCTCGCGTGGCGGACCGGCATCAGAGCGTTGTGCTGCTGGCCGCTGGCAGCAAGGACAGCACCGCCACGCTCAACTTCATCTGCATGTGCGTGGGGCGAGCGGGCGGGGGGGGGGGAATGGGGGGTGCGGGGAGGGACGAAAGAGCTGTGGATTAGAAGGGAGTGAGTGGAATGGGAGCAAGGGCTGGGGTGGGATGGTTTGTGGTGGTAGTAAGGGAGCGCGAGAGTGGGAGTGCATGTAGTGCGAGTGTGATGGGAGAGGAGGGAGTGGAGTGGAGGGTTGGATGAAGAGGTGCGCGGATGAATCTTACCAGCAAGCATTACACCGCAACATGCTCTTACCACATTGCACCACATACTGCATGCTCGTCACCACAAGCCACTGACATTGTGTCATGCCAGGTCATTCCACGTCCTGTCATGGTCCATGGAATCACCCTCGTTCTCCTTCTTCCCCACATCAAACACTCCCTCTTCCAATCCCAAGACTCCCGCATCCTTCCACCAACCCCATGTCCCCCACCTCTCATCCACCCACCCTTCGCCATCCCAACCCCCTCACCCACACTCTCCCACTCCTCTTCTTAACCCCACCCATCTCCACCCTCGTCCCGCCCCTTACCACCATCACCCAGGCTGCGGCGGTTAGAAATAACCAACTTTATGCTGGCAGCACTGGACGCGGACATGTACTCCTTGGCCTTCCTGCACGGCCTCCCCGTCTTCCTCCACTCCGCCTCCTCCCCTCGCTCCCCACCCTCCTCCTCCTCCCTCGCCTCCTCCAAACCCTGCCTCTCCTCCCCATCCTCCTCCTCTCCATCCTGTCAAGAGGCGGCGGCAGCAGCGGAGGAGGCGGAGGGGGCGGGGGCGGTGGCGTCGGCGGTGGTGGCGATAACGGTGCATGTGCTGCGCCTGGGCTACTCAGTGCTGTGGTCCGATGTGCATGCCGTGTGGTTCGCCAACCCTCTGCCGCACCTGCTCTCGCTCGGCCCTAACGTGCTCGCCGTGCAGGTCAGCTGCTGTGCCGCGTCCTGCTATCCTTCTCTCCCGCCCACTCGTCAGACCAACCCTGGCCTCCACCTCACTCTGTCATTTTCGCTCACCTGCCGCCACTCTTCACCCTCTCTCCCTCACTTCCCCACGGTTCTTTGCTCACTCGCGTCTTTCTCCATATCCGGTGCACCTCCCTAGTATCTCTTTCCCCCTTTTCGCCCTGCACCTTCTATTCCCCCATCCACATTCCCTCCATGTACGTTCGTTCCGCCCCACCTTTCCACATCCACCTCCAACTTCCACCTCCTCCCCTCCCCTCCCCCGTCACCCCGTTCCCTCCCCCCACTCAACCCCCCCCCTCTTCCACCTTCCCAACCCACATCCCTCTCGCTACCCCCACCTCCGCCCACCCTTCCGCTCTCCTTCATTAAATTCCCCGCCCCTCCTGTGTCCCTGCGCCTCCCCCACTCCCCAACACCAGCCCTTGCTCCCTCCTTCCCTCCCTACATCACTCTTCCATTCTCCACTCATTCATCTCCCCCTCCCTCACATCGTCTCCCTCCCTCTCCCACTGCTCTTCCCTAGCCTTCCTCTTCCACCCTCTAACTAAACCTCCCTCTCTCCCTCCCTCCCCTTTTCTCGTCCTCCCTTAAAGCCCAAGACCCGAATTACAAAAAACGAGGGCAAATTGTCCACAGTTTGCCTCCCGCAGCCCTCGGTTTTGCCCCGCGTTGACTTGCGTTGAGCAATTCAGGTCTTGGACTTTAACCCCTCCCCTCTCCTCCACTCACCCTCAACTGCACACCACTGCACGCCCATCTCTCCAACCCCACAGAGTGCAGAGACGAGTCGCAAGCGGGCGGCCAATGGAGCGCGCAGCATAGGCGGGGGGCTCATGTTTGCCCATGCGGACCGCCCCACACTGGAAGCCCTAGAGGCAGTGGCGGCGTATGCAGCAGCGGTGCGCGCCGAGGCACAGGCGGACAGTGCAGCGGGCACGGAGGGCGGTGGCGAGAGCAGTGCGAGGGGCCGAGCGGATGGGGTGGAGGTGGAGGAGCATCGATCCGCTTATGACGTGCTGTGTGGGGAGCGCGGCGAACTCAAGGTGAGCCCGTTGTGGCACGTGGTGGGTGGGGTGGGAAATGTGGGGAGGGGTGGGGAAGGGAAGGGAGGAGAGGGAGGAGAGGGAGGAGAGGGAGGAGAGGGAGGAGAGGGAGGAGAGGGAGGAGAGGGAGGAGAGGGAGGAGAGGGAGGAGAGGGAGGAGAGGGAGGAGAGGGAGGAGAGGGACGACAGGGAGGAGAGAGAGGAGAGCGAGGGAAGCATGTGTTGCATCAGGGTTCAGAGAAGCTGCTCCAAAACGTCTGTGGGAGTGTAATGAGCAGCAGCCTCATTCGTTCAAGTCCGCCAGCCACACTACTCCCTAACCACAGCACTCCTCTCACATACACCGTGTCCCAGCACCTAGCATGCCACCCACTTCTCTCTTCCCGCTCCGCATTGCCCCGCATCCCGTGTCCCGTCCCTGATGCGCTCCCATGGCAGGTGGGGAGGGAGGAGTGCAGGTGGGGCAAGCACCTGAGAGTGCTGTTCCTGGACCGCCAGCACTTCCCCAACGGGGCTGTTTACTCCGTCTGGCGCTCGCGCAACGCTGCTGCCTCGTGCCACCGCCTGCGCTGCATGACGCTGCACAACGGGGTCATTGTCGGTGAGTCAACCCTCTCTGCGCCCGCTCCCCACGCCCGAAAGCTCTCTCTGTGCCTCCCTATGCGACCCCCGCTGTGCGCCTCTCACTGTACACCCCGCCTGTGCGCTCCCCGCCTGTGCGCTCCCCGCCTGTGCGCTCCCCGCCTGTGCGCTCCCCGCCTGTGCGCTCCCCGCCTGTGCGCTCCCCGCCTGTGCGCTCCCCGCCTGTGCGCTCCCCGCCTGTGCGCTTCCCCCTGTGCGCTTCCCCCTGTGCGCTTCCCCCTGTGCGCTTCCCCCTGTGCGCTTCCCCCTGTGCGCTTCCCCCTGTGCGCTTCCCCCTGTGCGCTTCTCCGTGTGCGCCCCCCCTGTGCGCCCCCCCCCTTGTGTGCCCCCTCTTTGTGCGCCCCCGACAAGTGGATGCCCGGGAGGGGAGTGAGTAATCTCCTATTATGAACACTTCTGTGACCAGCACGACACACACTTGAGGACTCTCACTGCGTGACCTTCCCCGTGCCTCTTTGCTCACACACTTCCTATATGTCCTCCCCCTCCCGGTTTTCCCCATTGTGCCTGGTTCCTTGTATCAGGGCGGGAAGCCAAGGCAGAACGCATGAGACGGCACGGGTTTATTTATTACGATGAGCACAGACGCATGTGCATGCACCCATGGCACCCTAGGTTCCATGCCAGGGACCATTGACGGTTATAGCAAACGGTGGTGGTGTGGCAGCAGCAGCAGCAGCAGCATGAGTGTTCATGTGCATGTGTATGGGTGGCTGTTTCAACTCAATCCACTCAAACGATGTGTGCATGCGTGTGCCACTCCGAAGAACACGCGGCAAGTGGATGTGCGGTGGGGGAGTGAGGAGAGTCGGAGTGCATGGCATGGCACGCTTACAGTGATTGCCTCAGCACCTTCCAGCCTCTCGGGCCTTTCCGGTACTAGCTAACATCAGAGGTGTGGAGTGGAGTGATGGACGGTGCTGTTGAAGCACCGATTATCGATACCGGTAGTGCCAAGTAGTTCACCGATTATCGATACCGGTAGTGCCAAGTAGTTATGTTGTACCTTAGGTTTTGGCACCAAGGTGTGTAGATTTTAACACAATTGTTTGGCCTTTTTTACAGGGCCCGTTCGTACTGCAGTCATTGCTATCCTTGTACGGTACTGGCCATTAGAGAATAGTGAATAGGCAGCAATTGCTGCTGTGAGTATCTCCTGTTCAGGGGCTTCCTTCCTTCCCCCTTGTTCACCTGTACTGCCATCAGTGAATGATCTAAGGCACCACTTGCTGCATGTGGGACAGTAATGAGGATGGCGAGCAGGAAGGGTGATCCTCATTACTGTGGAGAGGATACATTGATGTACTAGTATACTAAGTTTTAGAAGTTACTGCTGTCCCATTACTGTGGCCTTCTAGAAGCCAAGCCCAGGATGTAGTACTAAACTGTGGAGAGGATACAGTGATGTACTAGTATACTAAATGTAGAACGGAACCCATGAAAGCGAGAGGTTATTCAAGGGAATGTGATGGCGTGAGTCGGTGTAAGAGACCACGAGAAAAGGTGTTCCATCCTTAGGGGCTGCTAAGAGTGGTCCATAGTGGTCGGTCGGTTGGTCGCTTCGTTGATTGGGATGGGAGGGACCGCCGTGGCTGGTGGAGTGGGATCATGCCTGGACTAGTGGCACAGGAGGACATGTAGGGTTCATGCCTTCGTGTGCGCATGTGCATGTGTGTGTGTGTGTGTGTGTGTGTGTGTGTGTGTGTGTGTGTGTGTGTGTGTGTGTGTGTGTGCTGTGATATGTGTCCCTGTGTACGTGTGCAGTTGTGCGGACGAGAGTGCGAGTGCATGTGCGTGTATGTGTATCTGCTTACGTGCATGTGAGTATGTGTATGCGCATCTCTGTGTGTTCACAATCATGCACTCATGCATGCATGCATGCATGGATGGTCATGTGCTCAAGGCAGCATGCTGCATGCATCACTTGGCCAGGCGCGCAGCCAGGGTTTCATAGGCACTTGAAATGAGCTTGAAGCGCCGCTCTGCCTCAGCCTGTGGAGGGGGAGGAACAGGTACCAACGGAGACAATAAGGAGGCGGCAAACAGAGGGGAGGGGGGAGGAGGGGAAGTTGAAAGCAGGGGGAGGAATGAGCACAGGAGTGAAGAGTCAGCACGTGCAGCTAGCAGTCAGCACGTGCAGCTAGCAGTCAGCACATGCAGCTAGTGGTCAGCACGTGCAGCTAGCAGTCAGCACGTGCAGCTAGCAGTCAGCACGTGCAGCTAGCAGTCAGCACATGCAGCTAGCAGTCAGCACGTGCAGCTAGCAGTCAGCACGTGCAGCGAGCAGTCAGCACGTGCAGCTAGCAGTCAGCACATGCAGCTAGCAGTCAGCACGTGCAGCTAGCAGTCAGCACGTGCAGCTAGCAGTAAGCCTGTCCGTGCCCTACGTGACCCATGTTGCCTTGCCCCCCACCGTGCATGCACCCAGCTCACCCTATCCTCTGGCTTCAACCCGTGCTGAGCGTCCGGATGCCACTGCTTCGCACACCGATGGTACCTGCACACACACAGGGGTCACATGCGGAGGGGCACACATGGCACCATGCCGGGAGCCCACACAGTGCAGCGACAGCGAGAGAAACGGCGCTGGAAAGAGGCAACGCAATGGGTAGAACGTGGGCGTGGGATGTCTCACGCTGCTTTCAACTCGGCCGGGGTGAGGGCCCCCTGTGTGGCCAGCCCTAGCAGCCGCCTCATCTCCATCTCCTCCCAGCTCAGCCCCTCCTCCTTGCCCCTCCCTGCATCTCCTCTCCCCGCCCGCTCCTCCCTCTCTTTCCGAATCCTCTCTGTCTCCATCCGAATCCGCTCCGTTTCCTGCCAGATCTGCCCGAACCGCTCCCACGGATTGTCTCGCGGCGGGGCCCACCGCTTGTAGTACGCGTTCTGCTGATGCCCCATGCCGTACGGCTCGTAGTCCCCATGGTCGTGCTCGTGGTCATGGCGCAGGTGATCGTATGTCACCTCTCCGGTATCCATGTATGAGTCCACCTGCTGCTGCCTCCGCCACGCCTCCGCCTCATCCGCCCGCGACCACCCGCGGTAACCCCCGTCCCTCTCTGCCCCGCCGTGTCCCCTCCACGAGTCCTCACTGTCAAAATGCTCCGCCGATCCGCCCGGAAAATCGTCAGCTGCGCCATTGGAGGAGGAAGAGGAGGGTTGGTGGTTGCGGCGGGCCGAGCGGAAGAAGCGGACGGAGGAGGGGTGGCGGGCGAAAGAGGAGGAGAAGGAACCGTCCCAGTGGAAGGAAGCTGCTGCGAAGGAGCGGTCCCGCAGCCTGCAAGGGCGGGAGGCGTGAGGGGAGGAGAGAGGCGGAGTGAAAAGGGGAGAGGGGGAGGAGAGAGGCAGAGAGAGAAGAAAGGGCCACGTGTGGGGGGAACAGCGTGACGGAAAACGGCCATGGATAGTTGACGCTAGCAGCCCCCTCGTACCTCTCTTGAATCTCCCGTGCCTTCATGTGCTGCCAATAATGCACCCACGGCTGCTTCTTCCCACCCCCACCTCCACGCCCCCCCTCCCCGAAGCCCCTTCCCGTCCAACCCCCCTCATCCTCATCTCTCCCCCGCTGCTCCTCCTCTCGCTGCTGCTGCTGGTTGCCCCGGGATCCGCCATGGCTGTCCCATGCATGAGGCATGGCGTGATGATCATGCATGATGGTGCCCCTGCTCCACGGCCCACGCACGTCCATGCCACACTGCCGCGCCTCCACCACGCAGTGCGCGTCGTCCACGTTCACCGCACCTCCTTGCACGCCCCGCCACCGCCTCAGCTCCCTGTTTGATGCCGCGCGCTGCTGCCGACGCTCGTACTGCCGGTGCTGTGCGGAGCGGTGGGTGGTGGGCGTGGGAAGCGGAGAGAGAGAAACAGAGAGAGAGACGGCGGAGAGAGGGGGAGGAAGGGGGGAGGGAGTGGGGGAGGAGAGGGAGAGGAATGGAGCAAGAGAGAGGAGTGGAGGGATAGAGGAGAGTGAAGATAAGCAGAAAAGGGAAGTGTGGGACAGACGAGAGAGAGGGGTGGCAGGGGTGTGGAGGAAGGAAGGAGAGGTGAAGGGAAGACAAGAGGAGCAGAAGGGCAAGGAGTTGAAAGGGGAAAGCGAGGGTTCACCTTGCTTGTTGCCTGGTCCGCATCACACGCCGTCTGCGGAGGGGGAGGAGCCAGGGGAGGGGGGAAACGGGGCGGGAGGTAATGGGGTGGAGGGAGCAATGAGGAGAGCATGTGAATTTGCGGGCTGTTCTTGAAGCGGCTCAGATGCAACTTCGTGTGCTTTGGCACGTGGCGATGAGGGCAATGGCCGCGGAGAGGTATGCGCGCATGGGGCAGTGCGCGCATGCGGCAGTGCGCGCATGGGGCAGTGCGCGCATGGGGGCAGTACGCGCATGGGGGCAGTGCGCGCATGGGGCAGTGCGCGCATGGGGCCGTGCAACGTTTTTGCGAAACGCGGGTTCTAGACGCGAGCAGGAGCAGGGAAAAGGGAGCCAGAGCAGCGACGACTCACCGACTGCCACTTGTCGCGGTGTTTCCGCGCGCAAGCCGCGGACGAGTGGAAGGAGCGGGGCGGAACGGCGGAGTAAGGGGGGCTCAGACTTCCAGGGGGAGCGACATCCCCAGGCCCACGCAAGTCGGGCGGATGACACGGGCGGTGGGACGCGCCTAGCGGGGAAACGGGCGGAGCGACACGCGGAGGCGCGGTTGCGCATTCTAATCCAATGGCACCGCCGCTTGGCTTGTCGCTTCTGCTGTTGCCGCCGCGAACATTCCGAGAAGAATCTAAGTCGCTCGGGCAAGCTCCGAGGGTAAGACTAACCGCAGAGGAAGGGCCAGGAAATCCCGGTATTGAACGGTGCAAAGCGGTGGCGAGGCAATCGAGAGAAGTAGCGAGGGAATGGGGAGACGCATGTAACGCGATAGACCGCGAGCGGACGACGTAATGAGCTGCCATGCATCCCGCTCGTCGCACCCCTCTGTCGACGCGGATGTGCGGAGGGGGTACAACCCCGCGCAACGGCACGGCAGAATCCGCGAGGAGATTTGCGAAGCAGACGCTAGGCACCGAGAAACTACAGCGGCGATGTGGATTCACACTGTGAGAGCGAACGGCAGCAAGCGCTTACGTGCCGTTGCCATCGGCTGCAGTTGGTCTTGGCGAATCGGCACGGGATGGATTTCGTTGCTTTCCGCCCGTCCCCGCAAACGGCGGTAAGGACGTGACGACTTAGGGGGAAGGACCGCAACAAGGCACAGAAGTCTTTCCTTCACGTGGGATGGGGTCGATTTCACGCGGGTGGTACAGTACGGTACTGTACCCCAGAAAGCAGGATCGCTTCTGAGTGCCTCAAGAGAGAGCACACGGTCCCTACTACAGTGAGGCTCTTTATGTGACTATATTAGCATGCAAAAATATGCGTACCCTTCTCTTGGTAACGCAAGCTTATTCAGAACCATTTAATTTTACATTTAGAAGCAAAGGCAGGATTATGACCAGAATACTGTCATTCATACATGCACAAACCCGTGTAGAACCATGCATACGGGAATCGTTCGATTGTGTGGAGCGGCAGGCAAGGATCCCCGGGCCAGGCAAGGCTTGAGACTTGTCATGGCACATGAAAGGTTTTGTATGGACACTTGGATTAACGAAGGGAATTGGAAGGTGCGGTGTGTGGGGTAGGGGAAGAGGAGAAGAGAGGAAGGAGAAATAGTGCATGGTCTTGGACATGGAAGGGTTGCCAGCCAATGACAAATAGGAGGGCTGAGGGCAAAAGAATGAAATGAATATTGTATTTGCGCCGGAAAATTAGGCTTGAAAAAAAGCAGGATTGGAAGGAAGTCAGTCTGCTTGGAATAGTGGCAGGGGCGGTATGTAGGCAGCAGGCGAGGTTGAACGCAGAAGCGCATTGAGCGACAGGGATGCATGGGTGTTTCAGTGAACATGCAGTATGTCAAGGAGCTTCTTGACCTGTATGTATACACATGCACATGCACACACACACGCACATGCACATGCACATGCACACGCACATGCACACGCACACGCACATGCACATATACGCATAGACTCACGACCCCACATGCACCCACCCTCACGCCCATACATACACGCACCACGGGATAAAATTAGGATGAAACCAAACCAGCATTGGAAACAACAGGATAAGAACCAGCAGCAGGCACTACCAGCTGAGGCACAAGCCACCCGGCGCACAGAGGAACTACTCTCACCTTTCCTTTTGCCTTGGGGCTGAAATTCACAGCCATCTGGGAGAGAGCGGGGCCCAGGTTGAGGCTATGCAGCTTGCGGCGCAGAGTGGAGCTGCTATTGGCCAGCACCAGCAGCGCCGCTACTGCATACTCCGCACACGCCACCGACGGCCCCCCTCCGCCCTGCACCAGCATCAGCAGCGTCTCGATCCCGCCGCGCCCTGCCATCTCGGCGCGTCCCTCCTCACACGCCGCCACCTGCGCCAGTACAGCCAGCGCCCGCTCCACCAGCGCCACTTCGTCCTCTTCACTGCCGCCCCTCTGACTGCCGCCCAGACTACCCCCACCGACCATACAACCACCAGCGGCGGCGTCGGCGGCAGCAGCAGGAGATTTCTTGCAGGCGGCAACCCAATCGAGCAGCATGTGCACGGCGCCCGCGCGGACGAGCCTGGGGCGGTTGGGTGCGACGGTGGAGAGGCTGTGCAGGGCAGTAGCAGCGTCCTTGCGCCCCTTGGTCACACTGCTGTCCGCCAGGAACCCCACGAGTGCGTCAACCCCGCCCAGGTCGCCGATGTGCGTGCGCATGGCGTCGTCCAGCTTTGAGAGAGAGTAGAGAGCCACTGCTGCATTGGCGCGCGTGGAAGGGGACGTGGCGGCCGGAGGAAGCATGGTGGGCGAGGAGAGGGTGGGGCCTGGTGACGCGTGCTGGCTGTGGCTGTGTGCTGACATGTGCGAGTGCGAGTGGGAGTGAGAGTGGGAGTGCGAGTGGGAGTGGCGAGAGGAGTGGTTTTGCGTGTGAGAGTGCCCGTGGGTGTAGCTGCGGCTGTGCGCATCGGAGCGCGGATTCGAGTCTCCGATCAAGGGCGAGGCGCCGGGGATGGCGGGGATGGTGGGGATAGCAGAGCCGCGCAGCAGCACGATGAGGGGTTGCACGGCGCCTGCATCGTGGATGATGGCCTTGATGCCCCGGCACACACTCAGGTTCACCAGTGCTGATATCGAATAGTCCACTAGCGGGCTTGCCAGCACAGCAGCACCCGCGCTCGCAGCACCACTGCCAGGAGCGTTCTTAAAGCCGTTGCTGCCGGAAACGCCTGCGGTTGCGGCGGCAGCGCCAGCAGCAGCAGCAGCGGCGTCGGCGGCGCGCTGCAGAATGAGCACGAGCGCGGGAACGGCGCCCGCAGCCACGATGGCTTCGCGCGTCTCCTCCCCTCGCCGCGCCAGCTGCCTCAGCGCGCGCGCCGCGTCCACCTGCCGTTCCACCGCCTCTGCTCTGCTCTCGCCTGACCCGCCGCCGTCATCACCGCAAACCAGTGCCAGTTCAGCAACCAAGCCTTCCACGTCATCTGGTCGGCAGGGCTGGCGCTTCGGCAGGGGTATCTGCTGCTGCTGCTGCTTCTCTCCCGCAAGCGCGCTCTCCGTTCCCTCCATTCCTATCTCCTCCGTCGATTCGTCCGCCACATCCGCCGGTTCCTCCTCCTGTCCGTCCTTCGCCTCCCCTGCCTTGTCGTCCGCGCCCCCCCCTCCGCCAGCCACGGCGCGCGGGCTGGGCTGGCTGGGGCTCGGCGTGCCTGAAGCAGTACACGACTGAACTCCCCCGGACGCTCCCCCCGATGCTCCCCCCGCGACCACCTTCACTGGTGAAAGGCCCCCCTGCCTCTCCGCGCACGCTTCCGCAGCTGCGCCCAAGGCCGCGGAAGCGATAGTTACTTCCGCACCTACTCCCGCGGCCCCCTGCGCCCCCTCCCTCAGCACCTCTCCCGCACCGTCAACTGCTTTCCCAGCAACTCCGCGTGCTTTCGGCGGCGCGTCGGCAGAATCGCCATTCGCAGCGCCGTCCGCGTCAGAGGGGTCGAGCAGCGAGGAGAAGTTCGAGTCGCAGGGCGGCGCGACGTCATTCGGGAGCGCGAGCAGCCACTCCGCCACCTTATTGCTATGGTGCCACCGCCACGCCGCTAGAGAATTCATCGGGCTCCCGCTGCCCGCGCCGTCTCCCCGCGGAATATTCTGCCCCGCTTGAGCCGTGACGTGCGCGCCGCTCGTCCCCGTTGCCGCGTTATTCGCGCCGCTGCCGCCGCCGGCGCTGCCGCTGCTGCCCGCATACTGTCGGAACGTCCGCACTTGCTCCTGCTGGCCCGCATAGTGCGGCGGAGGCGTCAGACCCCCTTCGTCGCTCGCGATTTCCTCGCACGACGACAGCTCCCCGTCGTCGCATGAATCTCCCGCCGCACCTTCGCTCCGCCGGTCCGCCTTCCCCTGCGCCAGCATCCCCTCCGCGCAACCTTTCCCCCTCCCCCTCTGCGCCAAACCGCTCTCCGCAGCCGCTTCGCCCGCCTCTCCCGCAGCATTGCGCAACAGCTCCTCCCCACCGCTCGGCGCGGCGTTCCGTCTTCCCAGCCGGCTGACTGGAGCCGTGCCGTCCGCAGCGGAGTGAAACTGATGCGCGGCGTTCGACGCGGGAGGGACGGGAAGCGGGGGCCGGTGCGACGAGTCGTAGCTTGTGCTCAGGCAAATGCGGCCCGCCGTCGGAGGAGGCGGCGTGATGGCGCCATTGCGGCCGGGCGACGCCCGGATCGGAGGGAGCTCGAACGACCGTCGAGACTCGCGAGCCGAGCTACTGCCGCCGCCGGCTAGCGGCTCAGCCGAGACATTGCGGCTATCCGCGGGCGGCGCGTCGCGCGATGGCGACGCGGCCATGTTGCTTGCGACGCACGATATGTCGGCCCATGAGGCGCAGCTTCCTGGGCCGCCGCCGCCACTGGTGCAGACATCCTCGCTCCCCCCGCGGCTCGTGGCGCTTGCCGCACTGCGGCGAGAGCGGCGGTCCGAGCTGAGCTGGCGGATTTTGCGCACCAAGTTCATGGCGCGAGGCGGAAGCAGACAGGGTGCGGAAGAAAACGCAGCGGCTAGTCGGTGATCCTTAAGGTCTGCGCTGCGAGGAACACTTATGGGGAAAGACGGGGAGCTGAATATTGCTGTTGCGCGGGCGTTCGCGCAATGCTCGTACGTAGTGTGGCTTGAGCGGTCTCGCGGATGACTCCGAACGCGTCAGGAAACTTCGCAATGAAGCCCACTTGACAAGGCAGTGCAACCACCAGCGGTGCGCGTCGCAACACTCCGTCATTGCATGTCCAGCCGTCGCTGTCTCGGCAAGTTATCAGATTCCATGGTCAGAGTAGGGTGTGATTTGTCGGGGAATGGGTGGTCACTGGTAGTCTCAGCCGACTCTCGCTACTGGTAGCCTACCTGGCCCAAGGTGAGGGGTGGTGGGTTGTGGTGGTGGTAGCGAGGGGTTCTTGTTTGCACAACTGCCTCATTGCTTGCCTCGCTTTGCTCCTTGCTGCTGGAGAGCGAGCCATTGAGCAGGCAGCACAACGCATGGTTCACGCTCTTCCCCAGTCAGCCATACCAACAGATCAGATAGTAGGTGGTTGCGTTTTTAGTGAGGAGGGGATGGTTTGACTTGCGGGTGACTTCCGAATTAACCCTCAATGCGCTTAGTGTACCAGTATCTTTCCCCATTGTGTTTGATGGGAGTCACAGCATGTATGGCTGGAAAAAGTTCAACGGTACTGATTACGGTCAGTCTAACGGGCAGTGTTTGGTCAGGAAACAGAAGAGCGTTCTGGTTGGTTGGGGGACTAGTTTCTGTGGCGAGGAACGACTACTGAGAAGGGATGTTGCAATACAACTTTTCCCCCAATGTACTGTACTGCAATTGATATTCCATCAGACTTAGGGCGTAGAACATTTGGTTTCTTCCGAACGAACGTAAGGTTCGGAAATTTACCGCCCTGAAACGTGTTGAAACCTACTTGAACAAAGCGTTTGACAAATGGACCATTTTCAACCGTTCAGGCGGTGCGGTTCGTTTGGAAAGTTTCCCAAATGTTCCACGCCCTTATGTTCCCCCGTGGCTCCAAATATTTCTTGCCAAACTTTGCACAGTAACTGAACTGTATGAATCACTTGCTTGAGGGGGCGAGGAGCTTCACCTGATCCGCAATACAGTATTTTCGCCGCGCGAAACTTCAGGCGACAGGTGAACATCCAGAGCATTTCCAGGTTTGCAAAACATTCATCCCAACAAGCACGTCCCGTGTGTGTTCTTTTGCACGTCATATGAAAGCCGGAAATCCTTTGTGTCAGGAAGTGTTCATTCCGAAGTGCGTGTTTTTCTACATAGATTCTGACCGCGACTTGGAAACCGGCGAAATCAAAGGGTGACTAGTCTTTTAGGCAAGTAAGCATACTGTAGCATGTGCGAAAACAAAGCGGTCGTGCCGTACGAGAGCTGCTCTTTGTTCCCACTAGTCATGGCGACAAAGTGTTGGTTGAGGAGAGGACATGTTTTGTCCACAACAGCTATGCATGCGAGCCATGTCATGTTGTTCCCCCCCTCGAGCAAATTGGATTGGAAGTTAGTTGTGGTGATGGGTCAGTCCAAGGATGACTTGTACAGCTCGTGTTCATTAGAATCCTTCAGCATACTGGAAATTCGTACAGCTTCGGAACTTTTGGATATCACAAAGTCTACGATCCTTCTATTGGGAAGCTCCAAACGCATTGAAGGCTACTCTGACATCATAGCTCCAGCACATATTCTTGTGCAGAACTGCTTGCCTGTAAGGAAATTTCCTTTTCCTTACTTCGCGCCCCTGCTTACCGCGTACATGACCACTCCAGCAATCGGCACCCACAGTGAAACGTTACCTGCTCGCAGCACTCGCCTCGGCCACGACTCCCGCCAGTGTTCGCAATGCGACCCAACCTAACGGTTCGGTTGGTAACCCGCGCTCCGGAACTCCGCCTCGACAATCCCCAAACCTCGGCGCTAGGCCCGTAGCGCACCCCATTTTCCCGCATTACCGTTACCACGCTAGCTTCGCTATATAACTTCACTCATGCTTTTCGCTCAACTGTATTGTTTGCTTCGATAGTGCAATTCTCGCTCGCTTACTCAATTGCACTCGTAACACTTGGTATTCAGAGCCTACGATCTCTTCTCGGACCGCACCCACACCTTCGCTTCCCCACAATCTCAATTTTTGGGGGGGGTAGACGTCTCTCAGCGAAACAAGCACCGCCACTCGTAGTGCTCTCTCGTAAGCACGCACGGCCACGATAGAGGCTCTCGCTGAGCTTGCCCGACACCCCCGCCATGGCTGAATTCAACATTGCGACGCTGACGCATGAGCAACTCGACCGTCTCGTGCGCCAACTCGAAGACTCGAAATTGCGGCGCTCACGGCGGAACGCGACTCCGCTCGCCAGCAATCAACGGTGCATGCTCCAGCACCTGCACCCGCAAATGCACCTGCGCAATCAGAAGAACCGATCGTCATCTCATCAGGCACACCGACGCAACACGACAGCGTGGGACAACGCTCAGGCGCAGCCAGTGATGGCGCCGCTCAATCGATGCCTGGCATGGAGAGAAATAGGGCCGCACCAAGCCCGCATGGGCCTCGCAAAGCTCGTCGGCACGTGGAGTTTGCAGCAACAAGTGACAGCCACAACATCATGGCACCAATGCCACTCAAGCCGCAGCGCCCGCCCTGTTTCGACCCGAGCCAACGTGGAGGTTCGACGGTTCAATCGTGGGTCTTCACGATGAACGTTTTCTTCGACGCGAATTACGTCGAGTCGGACGCAGCGAAGATTCGCTACGCTGTTTCGCTGCTGAGGGGCCCCGCCATGGACAGGTGGCGAGTCATCGTGACGTCGCCACGCGCCTACGAGCCACCGTCGCAAGAGGAAGAGCCCACGGCCCCAGCCGTCACATGGAGTTCATTTTGCGAAACCGCCCAGTACAGCACGTGGGATGCGTGGTGCGCAGGGCTTCGGGCCCGCTTCAAGCCGATCGCGGCTTCTATTTCGGCGCGTCATAGACTGCGTACTTGGCGGCAGCTCGGATCAGTTCAAGACTACACGAGCGGTTTTATCGCATTATGCGAGCAAGTCGGCTACATGCACAAAGCGGAGCGGGTGGACCGTTACATCGCAGGGCTGAAGCCGGACATCTCGCACGAAATTATGCTACGCGGGCTCTCGAATTTTAACGAGATCCTCGCGCTCGCCGAAAAAATCGACATTTTGCGACGTCCGAGACCGGGGTCCTACTACGGACATCGCCCTCCGGGACTGATCGAGCACGCCACCGTACACGCCGTTGCGACGAACGCAGCTGCCGCGCCGTTTAAGGGGCGCTGCTTTGCTTGCAACAGGCCGGGCCATCGCAAAAGCGAGTGCCCGGAGGAGCTAAGGCGCCGCGGAGCAGAGCAGGGGAGGGAGTCTCAGAGGCAGGGAAACGCCAGCAGTCAGTAGAAATTGGGCCAACTACTGACGAGACTGCCTACTCGCCCAACCTCACCGACCCTCACCGAGTCACAGTACCGATTCACGCCATCGATCGGGCTCGGATGAATAAGGAGGGTACAGCGACGGATTGCCCAGTACTAATCCACGGGAAAATACAGGGAGCAGCAGTGAAGATTTTTTTAGACGGAGGGGCAAGTCACAGCTTAGTTAATACCGCGACCGCACGGAAGCTGCAACTGGCACTTAGTCGATGTTTACCGGAGATAGATGCACAGTTAGTTGACGGAACGCCGCTGGCCATACGGGAGAAGTTGGAGAGAGTAAAAGTCCGCTGCGGGGGAAACTTCGGGTTTACACAGGAAATGCTCGCAACGACATTGGATGGGCACGACATTTTACTGGGACGTGATTGGCTGCGACGGTATAACCCGCGAATCGACTGGACGACGGGTAGCTGCACTGTGCGAAGTAGCGGTAGCTGGGTCGAATTACCTTGCTGGCAGTCGCCCGGGTCGTCAACGGTCCACGTCAACGCCATCATGATGAAACGGGCTGTCGCCGCTGGAGCTGACGTGTATGCGGTGGATATCGCAGTGGTAGAAGAAGCAGAGCAGCCGAGCGATTTTCAGAAACTGCTGGCAGCGGTACCGCCCGAACTACATAAACTGTTGAAACAGTACCCATGGATTTTTCCCGATGACTTACCGGAGGGACTGCCACCTCAGCAGGCACACGATCACCGAATAGAGTTAGAACCCGGGGCACAGCCAACCGTACAGCGACAGTTCAGACTGACACAGCCCGAGCTCGACGAACTGAGGAAGCAGCTAGATTATATGTTAGAGAAGAAGTTCATCCGACCGAGCTTGTCACCGTTCGCCACACCGATACTGTTCAGACCGAAAAAGGACGGAAGGTTTCGCATGTGCATCGATTACAGGGCACTGAACAGGGTTACAATCAAGTCGCGATACCCCATTCCCCGCGCCGACGAACTGATAGATCAACTGCGAACAGCACGGGTCTTTTCGAAAAATAGATTTACGGGGAGGTTACCACCAGATTAGGGTTGAACCATCAGACTGCGCCAAGACAGCGTTTAGAACTAGGTACGGGTCCTTCGAGTACACTGTGATGCCTTTTGGGCTGACCAACGCACCGGCGACGTTTCAGATGACCATGAACGAGGCGTTTAGGCCACTCTTAGATAAATGTGTGATAGTTTACCTCGACGACATCCTCGTCTACGGTCGCGACAAGCATCAGCACTTAGCAGATCTGGAAGCAGATTTTAAAATTTTAGACGAACACAGGCTACTGACCAAGGGTTCCAAGTGCGAGTTTTTTCAGGACAGGCTAGAATTTCTGGGGCACGTTATTTCGGAGGCTGGGGTTGAGATCGACCCAAAGAAGCTGGACACGGTAAAAGCGTGGCACCCCCCTGAGAAAAGGAGAAAGCGAATGAGAAAACTATGAATGAAGTGAGTACATATAGGAAACCCTAATTGGGTTGTACCCCCTATGGGATACCCCACTATAGC